CATGCACAAAGTAAATAAGAATGGCATCTGGCATTTCGTGATTTGTTTCATAAATAAGAAAATGTATAAGAAAGAGAAGAGAGTACAAAGTGTAAAAAATAAGAACCCCTCAAATCAGAAAACGAAACAAAATGGCAAAACACAAGTACAGAACAATAGAACAGAAGGACTAGGAAGTTAATTAGTGTAAAAAAGCTAGCCAATACAACAATAACAACAACAAACTGGTCAGCTACATGGATCACACACCGTCATTGTGCTCTATCAATAACCAAGTCTTAGAGGGGGGGGAAAAGCTAACCAATATCTTTGCAAATTAGAAGAAATGAAGATTCCGTTGAAAAAAATAGAGCCAAGCACAAATAAACTTCACCCTTTCAATATCACTAGGTCAAGAAGAAAGGTATAGACAAAGGTAAAGCCCCAACATTGGAATTGCAAATGTGAACAAGAATGGAAACGAATATCATATGGCAGGCATTCCATAAGCATATTCTACTTCAAAGTTCAGAAATTACCCAAACAATCAGTTAAAACTGATATGTTGATGCCAGCAAATCTTAAAATATCTATACCTCACTGCAGTGTTAGCAGTGAGAACAAAACGTACTGTAGACATTCAAAAGACTGTAAATGGAAACATTGAACTTTGACCTCAAAGAAATTATCAAGTCTATAGATGGAAGACTTGTTAACTTTGCCAGAAAAATGTGAGTGCCATTAATATACGGAGGCATAATAGTATCTAATGCAGATAAATGAAAATAAAGGACCTTAAGTTATCTGAATTTCTTGAACCATAGATAAAAGATAATGCCTTTCATATTGCCAAATGATATAGTATTACGGATTTATTAAATAAGAATCAGAATACTTATGCTCAAGTCAGGACAAATACATAATATTGCCCCAATTTTAGAATACCAGCTCTTTACATATCAAAAAAATGATAGGAGAAAAATAAAAATTGCTTGAGTAATATGGATGGTGGCAGTCAAGTTCAATAATTGCACCAAAATATCAAAACCTACCATTTTCCAAAGCAAGCATACCATTTTTATCATTGCTATATATCTTCTTTGGAACAGCCCAATCAACAGCTATGAGGCGCTTGCCAAGCTTTGATCCATTAAGCTTCTGAATAGCCTGCAAGAAAGAGGAAAGCTTTAATCACATCATTTATTGAAAAAACCAATACTCTAGAATACAGCCTTGACCAAAATTCATACATTTTCTGCATGTTGCTTGCAAGTGAATTTCACAAATGCAAAACCCTTAGACAGTCTGCAAGAGGGAAGGGAAAAGGTAGAATAAGAAAATATAACACGATATTACATTGAAACAGATGAATTCAGGAGTTCAGAATATACCCTGTATCAGACTTGCGTGGAATAAATACATCCCACACGAACCCAGCAGATGAAAACATTTCTTTTACTTCATTTTCCTTGGCCTGTACCAATGTTTAGTCAACCGGTCAGAAGTCATGATCTCCAGTCAAGAAAAAGGGGGGAAAGGTTTATCAAGTTCTGTAATCCCAGGCATCAAACCTTGAACGGAAGATTTCTAACAATAAGCTTCCATTTCTGTGTCTTGGAACCCTGTCCACATGTAACATAAAATTTCTCAGAAACTAACAATAGTTGATGCACACGTTTTGTAAAGAGGGAAAACTACATTTGTGCTGATTGAGAACAAAATATACAAAAGGAGATAACAAAGCCCAGCACACACTTAAGTCTAACTTCTACCATGTAATAGATTATTGAACGACTCCAATAAAAGATCAGTATTCCCCAAAAACCAAATTGCAAATTATGGCCAGCAAATAGCGTGGTTTGGCTTGGTTGATGGTGAGCTGGTCCACATTTCAAAAACAGATTTACTCATCTCAGATGACACAGTGGGGTGGGAGTTATGCCTCAGATGTAGATTTTTTCTTGAATAAAAATAAGAATATAAAACAGGTTTTCTAGCTAAACTTATAGCAGACGTGCATTTACTTTACCTCTCCACCCAATTGACGTGCCCAGACAATTCCTCCTCCAATTTCTTTCTGATGCAGCAACGCAACAGAAGCTCGTGCTGATTTCACACTTGTGTAAAGTACAGCTGAAGCATCCAATTTACATCCATCTTGCAAGAGACCTGGAAGAATGTTATCGTTAATTAATACTCAGATAATATAGGCGAGAACATTCAATTCCAAAACCATCTCTAGCAATTTCAATCAATGTTAGACTTAAAAATGATTGCATAGCTATAAAACTAGAGTATCCTAGTCCAAAAGGGTAAAATTTATATCTACCATGCTGTTCAAATTCTTCCCTAGGAAGGGGGTACTTTATAGAACACACACTGCCAATCTCCCGTACTTGGCTGTGAACAACTTCAGCCATATCCGAATTGATAAGACCGCCAAATATGACAGTTCTAGCAACCCTGCCAAAGATAAAATGAAAATTATATAAGAAGAAACACAAATTTTATTAATGAAATACTATTTTGCAAAAAAAGGACCTCCAAAAAGAGGACTCTGTATAAGAATTCTCTTATTTCATTATAATCACAACCATGAAACATTCTTTTTACCAAATGGAAAACTTGATGGAATTACAAAGGAGGGAATAGTAAGTACCTCTGCTTTTCAGAACAGCCCCCCTCATCTGCTATATCCCTACAAAGAACTGCTTTTTTCACTTCACTATGCTTCCTTGAATGGTTTTCATTATTTACAACTGAAAATTCTCCAAGAAAATAACTGGGATATATAAGATTGATAACTAAATTAATACACAACTAAGAAAAATGTGCAGGAGCATGTTATCAACCTTTTTCCTTAGTAACTGACGAAGGCTTCTTCACTCCAGAAAAGCCACCATCATTGTCATCATTTTTTGACTTTGGGATATCATCAGCATTCTCTGCCATAGCATGAAAAAAGTCAGAATCAGAAAAGACAGAGGAAAAAAAGAATATTGATGACATTCACACATTTGCACATCTTTCAGGAAGTATGTAGGAGTGTGTCTATATGCATTGCAGTATGCTGAACTACATTTAATGTAGCAATAACCTTGGTTTGACTTTGATTGTCGTGCTTCACGGGGAGGACGAGGCATGGCATGCTTTACTGCAATTTTCCGGCCTCCAACAGATGAACCATTCTTCGACTCAATTGCACGGTTAGCATCTTCCTCGACAGCGCTGATGATAGCAGCAATTGATATGTGTGTGTCACAGAGAGAGAGAGAGAGAGAGAGAGAGAGATCAGAAATAATTGCTTGGGGGAGGGGGAAGCAAAAGAATTAAAAGTTTCAACTCTTCATTTCAATAGCCAGATAAGTCAGGGTTAGTGTCCTGCAATGAAACATCAGTCACAAAGCGCAGCAATTATCTTAAGTAACAGATCTCACATAATTGAAGCAACTGTCATATCTAGAATGAAGTTTTCAGAAAATACTTTGTATATGTATATATCCTGTATATCCTATATATATCCTGTAGTTTCCTGCAACACACGGTGGAGCACAATCTAGTTTGTATCAGTAACCAGATCTCAAGATCATGGAGGTTTACTGATATTAGTTCACTGCCATGATTTATGTTTGTCATATAAATGTTCAAACTTGATAGAAGCTCCTGTCTGATTAATCAAAGGCAAAAGAATAACTGATGACATGATTTATAAGAACTATAAGAATATAACATAAACTACAGGTCATAAATTAAAAATCTGGTAAACAAGACGGCAGGAGATTTATAACAGAGTGCCAAAACCTACTAAAACAAGTATCCAACAGAAGAGGAGGGAAAAGGATAGGTCAGCCTAAACAAAATAAGAAAGGAAGAGGAGGATGAAAATATACAAAGACTTGTCAGGGAAGAATAAACTTACAATTGAACATAACCAAAACCACGATGCTGAGATGACCCTGGGGTAGATATTTAAGAAAAAGAAAAAGAAAAATTAAATATTCTAGCTCAACTTTAGCTAATAGTGATGCGAATTAGAGTATTACACACATATAGGCTTATTATACATCTAATCTAATAACAATATATGCAAATATTGTTTGATGCAATTTCGTGCCTTTATCATATTGATAATTTATGATTATGACGAGATCAAGAACTCCTTAATGTCATGTGGAAGCACATTAGAACCGCACTTATAAGTATATTGATAATCTAACTGTCAAACAAATACCAGCACAGTAGAACTTCAATACTGGAGTGAAAAAAATAGATGGCAACATGTTTCATCAAATAAAATACACGTGTATGAATCACAGTTCCACGGTTCAAGTAACGCAGCATGGTTTTCTAACCGCCATCAGTAAATTCTAGTAGGCGCTAAAACCTTGATACAGAAAAAGAGCCCCCAAGCTTTGTTCGATGGGAGGAAAGTGGAAACACGGCCACCCTCTCCTCCCAAGTTTAATCGTTTGATAGTCATGAACATAGAGTTGAATAAATTTGCTCAAGCGAGTGAAGAACTGAAAGAGTTCCAACTCCTACTCGCACAAAGCAACACACTTTGTGCGAAAAGTTCAACTACAATAGCAAACACGTCTAAAACACCATAACCCAGATAAAATTTCACGGACAAAGATTAGCATTCTCCCTACCCTTCTGCATGACCATGAAGCAACGCCTGATTGGTCCAACTTCGCTAAACGTCTCCTCCAACTGATATGTTTTCACAAAAATATATACATGAGCAGACAAATTCTGATCGAACTCTACGGTTCAGAGTTTCAGACGAACAAGGGGGAATTGAAAGGCATGTACCTGAGAATTGGTGAATGAGTAGGGCAAGTTCGAGACAAAAACAGTAGAGGGGCAGTGCTCTTTCCCTCCACTTTCCTTCACTTTCTTCTTCCCCATGTTCGAACGCAAGGAAAAAGCTAGACAAGCAAAAATTCAAGTTGCAACGCTGTAGGGTGGTGATTAAGTCCAGTATCGTATTCAGGTCAGGAGAACACAAAAATCATGAGAGGGCGCACCCGCCTGCTCGCAGAGAATGGCGGCCCGAAAATAAAAAGGTGGGAACTTCAAGCAGGCAAGAGTGCCCGGTTCGGGACTTCGGGTTGCCTGGTTGCTGCGATGGATTAATTTGTTTGTATTAAATATTTTACTTAACAATTGTGACGAAAAAATTATTTTACTTGACTAAACTTATTAAAAAAATGCCTAAATTATTAAAAAAATCGCTAAACTTTGAACAATGTTTAAATAGCCCATTCATTAACGTGTAATCCCGTTAAGTTTATGCAAATAAGCCCTTGCCAGTGTGGGGGGAAGTTTGGGTAAAAAAAAGAAAATTAAAAAGCATACTTATATTAACTGAGACAAACTCCTTTCATATAAAAATCATTTTTAAATTTATGGTTTGATTTTATTTAAACATCTCTTAAATGTTACTACCTCTGGTCTTTAATATAAGATTTTATTTTGACTTTTATTTTGGTCTTAAATATAAGATCCCAATCTACTTTGTCTTTCATATTTATATTTTTTTTCAAAATAATCTTTCTAACAACAAAATTCTAGCCAATACGCTTGATTAGTGAGAATATTTTACGAAAGACAACACATATTTATTACAAATAATTAATTTAACTTTTTTTTCTTAATATCATCAAATCAGTCAACCAACTCTTATAAATAAGACTGGAGGTAGTATATTACTACAGTCATTTACCAACGAAATGAAACATATTTGCTGTTTTAAAACATTTTTAGCGCCATGGACAACATTCCTCAATCCTCTTCTTCTCCCCTCTTCTTGATCACTGTGCTCATATGAGAGGAATTCCGTTATCCCGTTCACGCACATGATTTTCACCAGTATCAGTACTACCGCTGTTCGTGGACATGATCCGCAGTTCAGCGCCATATATAAATAAATCTTGTGTCAAGTTACGCCAAAATTTTCTAAACTTTAACTCGTATGCAAATGTCATCTTGATCTTTAAAACTTGATTTAGAAAACCCCAAAGTTTTTATTACATCCTTCACTTCACCCACTAGGCATGATATATGTGTTATCAACCAATACCCAATTAAATTTTCTTTATTTTTTTTATACCAAACATTTTATCATTTAAATAATATGTATTTTTCCAAAAAATTAAATTATATTTTATTGTTGAAGTAATATATTAGTTTATTTAGTACTATTTTGTTATTAATGTAAGACCTAGTTAAAATATATTAAGGATGTTTGTTAGATGATTAATGTGATATTTTTTTAAAATATCGTAATCATCTTTCTTAATTTCTTTGCCTTTTTTAATTCCCTTCACCCCTGTAATTGTTAACAAAATATGAATATTTTTGAAAAAAATAGATAAACATGTTAAATAGTTCTTACATATAAGACTAATATCAGTTCCACCATCATGTCTTATATTAAAAACTAGAGAAGTATGAAATTTAATTATTCTAACATATGACATGTTCTGGTAACATGTTTTGTTAACTAATGCATATTACTAATATAATTTCTTATTTCATTGTTTTTTACTCACTTGATCCTAAATATAAGATCCTTATATTAATGTGTATAAGGGTCTTATATTTAGAATCAGAGGAGTATTCAACTTGTTTCTGCTTTCATTTTTATGGACTGCCGTATGGTATGTGGTAATGTAATTTTTAGATGATTATTTACCATTTTTCATTTTCTACGCACCGGGAGAATTTGATTTACAGTACTAAAGTGTAATTTAGTTGTTCTAATAAGAAGCTATTCGTATAAATTTTCATTGACTGTTTCTTTTATACTTTTAAATGATATCAATTCACATCCCCGTTTGATTAATTCGTAATAAAAAATTATATACGCAACCCAGACGTCACACTGGAGTCTACATGGTTCTTAATACTCCTCCGGTCCTTAATATAAGACCCAATTATTAAGTTGGTTTTAGTCATAAATATAAGACCTATTTATCATATTTATCAATTTTCTCTAAAGTACCCTATGGATATTCTCTCAACCATAATCAAGTAAAAGAGGGAAATGAGATATTAAGAAAGATGATTATGATATTTTAGAAAAAACATGTCACATTTTTTATAATTAACTAACTTACCTAACTTCCTTAATCTAATCAAATTAGTTAAATGGGTCTTATATTAAGGATCGGAGGAGTAATATATATTGATACTGATTTAAATTAACTTTTGAAAAGAAGTTACTAGTTCTAAAAGGCATCTTCACCTTCGATTGATATCAAATAGTAATACTCCTCCGGTTCTAATTATAAGACCCAATTGACTTATTTGAGGAGATTAAGGAAGTAAGTTAAGTTGGTTATTTATAATAAATAAGTGTTGTTATTCCTAAAATATCCTTGCTAATTAAGTATATTGGCTAAAACTATCATTATTAGAAGGATTATCTTGGAAAAAATGCATAAATATAAGAGAGAAAATAGATTGGGTCTTATAATTAGGACCAAATAAAAAGTCAAATTGGGTCTTATAATAAGGACCGGAGGAGTATATATTTTTTTCAATTTAATCGTTTTCTTTCTTCAATTTTATTCAGAGAGACTTCTGGCAAAAAAAATTTTATTGAGAGAGACATGCATGCAAGTGATGCAACCGTATAGATTAATGATATGGAATCGGAAGCTATAACAACGTCCCGCATGCAATTGTCTAATAATTAAAGAGACCTCATAATATGTATTAACAGAATTAGAACCTAGCATACAGTGAACTAGCTATTAGCAAAATAACAGGTGAAATATAAAACCTAAACATATTTTGTCTCTCAAATATTTAATATTTTCTTTAAAATATCTTTATTAATTGTAAAAGATTTTCATCAATAAATAGTTTTGATATATATAATTAAATAAGATAACTCAGAGAAATCAGTCCATATTTACCACAATTAATTGGCTTAATTAATTTTTTTAATCTTCTTAAATTAGTTATCTAGTTTTTATAATAAAAATCAAAAACAGTGTTTCAATGCTAGCTATAATATAATAAATACTGTTTACCTAAGCACATTAGATAATCCAAGAAAGCTTGGCTATAAAACATTTAATTTGTGTCGCACCTATTAGTGTTTTATTTATAGTTTAATTATCAAACACGTACAACAACGTTGCACGGCTAGTAGCTTAGCTGTATAAAATCAGCAGAATGAAATCATGAATATGCTTATAGGAATATATGACAGCTAAAAACCAAGCAAATAAAGACGCAGGAAAGCCCAGACTTGGAAGAGAATGCAAGAGAAGGAAATAAGGTTTGGAGGGAGTTAAAGTTATGAAAGCATTTAGGTCTGATGTACCAACTGGTTGTTAGGACAACCAAATACACTCTTACCGTCCCACAAACAAAGAACTAACAATTTAGCGAAACAATCTTCAATCATAACAAATTTAGCATCTTCTGAAATTATCAGGAGACTATTTCGATAAAAACTAAACTATAATTTTAAAAATAATTTTATAATATGTAAAATAAATATATACAAAATTTTGTCTAATATATAAAAAATTTTGTCTTAACTTGTAAAAAAATATTTTTAAAAAGTACTTTTATATGAATCCAAACACCCCTTCTATCTATCACACTTCGGGAGTGTTTGGATAGATACAAAACTATGATTTTAAAAATACTTTTAAAATATATAAAATAAATATATGAAGGAGTTTGTTTCAATTTATAGAAAAGTGATTTTTAAAAACACTTTTAGAGTTAGACAAACACCTTCTTTATTTGAAAAGAGTGTTTAAGTAAAAACATAATTATAATTTTAAAAACATTTTTACGGTTATAAATTAAATATATAAAAAAATTTATCTCAATTTATAAAACTTTTTAAAAGTGATTATTGAGCCATCTAAACAATCAGCGTCATAGCTTATCAGGTTTCAACCGCAAAACCAAACTCTAGCTGAGAGGGAAAAAAGGTTTCTGTTTTATTATTATTTATAAAAAAGTTTTTAAATTTTAAGTTTCGCGGAGAGTCAGAAACCAAAGCCATTGATAGCTCTCCCTACCTCCTTCATCAGCTATTTCTACGTCTACATCTACTGATCTCCCCATGTAAAAAGCTGTCGAGTTTTTCACCTTTTGCATTATTTGGGATTGCAAAGTACAGTTTTGACCCTCCACTGTCTGATTTCTTTCACGTTTTCTTCTGGTCTTTTGGTATTTTCATGGTAATAGCCCAGTCTGACGCAATCTCGACCTGCTCCAACAGTGATTTTGCACCAATCCCAGCGCCAGAAAAACAAAAAAATAAAGAAGAAAAAAATACCAGAGCTTCAAAACCTCGCAGCGTCCGCAATTTCTTTGTCATCCTTCTGCTTCCTCTTCGTCTTTATACAGTCTCTTGCTTTCTCTCTTCTCTCTTCTCTCTCTCTCTCTATATCTCTCCTCTTCTCTCACAGCCTTCTGTGAAAAGTCTTTTTTTTTTCCTTTAACTTTGGTTCGTACACCTGGTGGTCGGAGCTGGCCTCTACGCCGGCCGGTGAGATAGACTTTCCCTTCGTGTTATCTTTCTGCGACGAATTTTTGTCCTTTGTGTTCCGTGAGCACAGTCCTGCATCACATGCGACACCGATGCGCGACATGTCCACTTTAAATTGCATTTAGTGACTCTTTTCTTCGTGTTGCAGTGTTGAGAGTAGTATCTGTATGCTTGTTCATCAGGTGACTAGAACTGTATAGATGATGCTTTTGGAAGATGGGTATGCAGGTTTGGTTGAGTCCACTTTTCTGAGTTAAAGGGCCACGTTAGGCTCTTAGCTTGAACATTCTTCCTCTTAAGGTCTGAAGAAAACTGGTGGTGTTTCTGGTTTCATGGTTTTTCTTCCTCAAACTGCATTTCTCTGTCTCTCTGGTCGAAGAGATAAAGAGCAAGTGTGAACTTTCTAGTTCTGAAACCTAAGTTTGTTGGGTACTTACATATCCTCTGCAACCTTGAGTGAGTTCTCTTGGAGCCTGCATTTTAGTACCATTTTGTTGGCTACATTGATAGTACTCAGTGTCTTTTCTTTTTGGCTCCCCTTTTTTCCCTGGTAAATTAGCTATCAGCGGGAGGTTCTTCTGAGCAAATGTTTGATCGTTGATGGAAAAGTTTTTTTTTTTTTTTTTAAATTCTTTCCTTGCAATTTCTTGTTCCCCTGGAGTATTACGTTGATATATTAGGATAAGAAATCCTTGAATTTAGTTTACGTTCATTCTGGTAAAAATAAGGAAACAATAATTCACTTTCATTTGGCGGAGAAGAAGTTTTGATTTTGACGTCATTAAGATGACCTTTCGATTATCTAATTGAATTTAGTTTAAGCAGAGCCGAGCCTAAAGTTCAGCCATGGGACAGGAGCTCTTCTAGATTCAGTTGTACTTATAGTTTTTGATTCTTTCCTTTGCTTCGTTCTGTTTTTTCTTCCACGGATCTGCTTGATTGGAAAGAAAAGCAACCCCCCTTCCTTCCAATTAATATTTTGGTTTGCTTAGTAAGTTCATTTTTTGGAGCCTTGATTCTCACATCATTTCACATGTACGAATTTCATGGATTTTTGCCTTTACCTTGATTTTCACAGCATCTAAGTAACAAATTTCATTTATGGTGGCAACAAGTATGCGTACTTGGGGATTGATTTTGCTTCCTTTTCTTTTTTTCAGCTTATGTATAAAGCCAGGTAAACCTGAAATTAGAGATCTGCATTCTGCTAATGAAAGGAGTCAGTTTCAATGACTTATCCTCTCTCAGTGCTGGTGACATGAATTGCATAATGATCTAAAGCGGAATTAAGCTTCTTCTGTGTTGGTACCGGCGTGACTTTGAATAACCATTAATTTTCAAAAACATTCTGTGCATGTCTGGATTAGCTTACAACTTTTACTTCCATAAAGCATCAAGCAGAGGGTTTTGACAATATGGCAACTTATTTGCCAAATTCATATTCTGAGACACCGATTACCCCTAGTAATGTAACGTTGTATATGAACAATGGTTCATATCCAGAAGCATTCTCTGGCAATTCTCAGGAGCAAAATGGGTGCTTTGTGATCCCACCAACGAGTTTGTCACAATCAGCCCCAGAACAGCAAGAAATCTTGGCAAATCTTGGTGGGCAACAAACTGGGGCCTATGATTTCACTGCATGGAGACCGGGGAGAAATGAGATGCTAGTAACACACCCCATGGATGGACATAACTTGCAGAGCCAGGGATTATCTCTCAGTCTTGGGTCCCAAACACCACCAGGAATCCAAGTGTCCCCTTTCCATGATCAAAGTTCTAACCCAAGTTTTGATTCGTTTTTAGGTCAAAATCCATCAATTTCAGGCCATAAAAACAGCTCATCTAGACATGAGTGTATGAGGCACGGTGAAATTTTGCCTCCTGATTTACCTGAAGCTAGTCAAGTTTTGGATAGAGGGGATTATTCTTTGCACGGAATGCCAAATATTTCAAGAACAATTCCTAATTCCAAGTACCTCAAGGCAGCACAGGAGCTACTCGATGAGGTTGTTGACATCCAAAAAGCTATAAAACAACCCAATGGGAAAAGTCCTAGCGCAGGTGAGAAAAAGACTTCTAAGGAGAATGATGGGAGACTAGAAAATGAAAGGGCCCCTGCTAATAGAGAGCCTAACCCTCAAGATTTAGCCGGCAACACCTCTTGTGAGCTTTTACATGCTGAAAAACAAGATCTGCAGAACAAGTTAACAAAGCTACTGTCAATGCTGGATGAGGTATGACCTATATATTAAGTTGAGTTCTGCTCTTCTATAAGTCCAGTGTCATCACACAGTTGATCATAACTGTTCTTCTATACCTTTAGAAGAGCCCATAATCATCAATGTCACTATTAATATCAATATAAAATATGAAATCTAAAGCAACATGCATTATTCGTAAGTTATGAACAATGTGATATATTTTTCAAATTCCAAACAGTACATGTGGGGTCCAGCAGTTGGCAAATTATAAGTTAGATATGTGTGTTCTGTCTTGGAACAGGGAACTACTGAGAGTGGTATTCCAACACTGTTAGTAGTTTAATAACCTTAAATTACAAGATAGGGCAACCCAAGAGTTGTTTTAAACTTTGAAGTCATCCGCCTCATGGATCGGTGTTTTAAATTGCATGCTGACGGAACTTTTTAAGGAGGAAGCATAGTGTTTAGTTATTATCATAGTGTTTAGGAATCATAGAGTTGTGTCAAACTTTGAAGTCATCCCCCTCATGGAGCGGTGTTGGAAATTGCATGCTGACGGAACTTTTTAAGGAGGAATCATAGTTTTTAGTTTTTTTCCCAACAAGTACTGATGTCTCTCATAACCATAAACTCTCTAGTACTATTTTCAGTCCTTAATATAAGACCTTGTTTGACTTTTATTTTGGTCCTAAATATAAGATCCCAATCCACTTTGTCTCTAATATTTATGTATTTTTTTTCAAAATAGTTCTTCTAACAATAGTAGTTCTAGCTAATATATTTGATTAGCAAGGATATTTTAGGAAAGACAATACTTATTTATTACAAATAACTAATTTAACTTCTTTTCTTAATCTCTTCAAATTAATTAACTAGCTCTTATAATTAGGACCGCAGGTAGTATATTGCTAAATAATTGGGAATGAGATAAAGTTGGTAACACCTCGTTTTGTTTTACCAATAGGATTAGCATATACTCAACCCATGACTACGCTGACTTGAGTGCTACTTTATGTTTCAGACGCGAAAGTTTATATAAATGTTAAGTAATAGCTGATGGAGGACTGCTACTATAAACAAGCACCTGACTGACACATATCTAATTAGACATTTGTCCAATAAATCATATATATTCATATTATAATTAATTCGGAACATTTCATCCTCCTATCTTACATTCCTTCATCCCATTCTTAATCACATGGCCCTGTGATCTAGTCCAGATGAATAGTCCATAGTATTCGTTAACGCATGCTAAATAATCTGTCTTTTCTCATAATTGCTGCATTGTGCTGGCTACCATATTATTGTGATCATGGTTAAGGCCATTTTCTCGGAAGTTCTAATGGCCTCCATGCAATTGCCACAGGTTCACAGCAGGTACAAACAATATTATCATCAGATGCAGATTGTGGTATTGTCATTTGATGTGATAGCAGGACGTGGGGCAGCTAAACCATACACGGCACTGGCTCTCCAAACCATTTCGCGTCATTTCCGGTGCTTGCATGATGCAATCACTGGCCAGATCAGTGCGACACAGAAGAGCCTTGGAGAGCAAGATTCTGCAGGAAATAATGAAGGAGTTGGAATATCAAGACTCCGGTATGTTGACCAACAAATCCGGCAACAGAGGGCTCTCCAGCAGCTTGGAGTGATGCATCATGCGTGGAGGCCACAAAGGGGACTACCAGAAGGCTCTGTTTCAATTCTTCGCGCCTGGCTTTTTGAACATTTCCTTCATCCGTATTCTTCTTTCTCTTGTTTGCTTCTTAGATATTGTTCCAAGGCTTTATGTGTTTAGTTATCTAATTGCCCTATTCTCTTGCTTCACAGCTATCCCAAAGATTCTGAAAAGGCAATGCTAGCAAGGCAGACAGGTTTGACTAGAAGTCAGGTAAAATTTAAAACCGTCTTCTTAGGAACTGGCTAAGATAATTACTTGTATTTTAATAGGGAACCCAAAAAAAAAAAAACAAAAAAACAAAAAAACAAAAAAGGGAAATGCTGAAGAACAAAATCGAACTCGAAGTTTTTGATTCATATATTTAGAGCGGCGTAACTCTCTGAGATAGATAAGGAAGATACCTTTTGCATGATATAGGTCTCAAATTGGTTTATAAATGCACGAGTTCGTCTCTGGAAACCTATGATTGAGGAGATGTACAAGGAAGAAATTGGAGATGCCGACTTGAACTCCAGTTCTTCAACTGAAGAGGCATCCAAGGTAGGCAAAAGCGATGTCAAGATCTCCGAAGATGGGTGCGATGATTTACAACAGAGCCAGCGTTCAATAGCCGACAAGAACAGCAATGTTGGACTTGGACAAACAAAAGACTTGGGATCTGACAAGCAGACCGAGGAGCATCAAAGGCTCAGCTTCGATGACTGTAGTGTCTTCCAAGATAACACAGATGTTCAGACTAATGAAGGCAATGCAGGGTTTGTGGCGGTTGCTCCGGCGTGCCAAATGTCCGAGTTGGGAAGGTTTCAGTCTGGGAACGGCGTGTCCCTGACATTAGGCTTGCAGCACTGTGAAGTTGGTGACTTTATGTCTGGTGAGAGTCGTCATAGCTTCGTTGTCATGAGGGAGGATGGTACCATTGGAGCTCAGACATCAGAACTTGATTACGTAGCTGCTGGAAACCAGCACCGAAGGTTCACTGCGTCCCGTTAATGGCATGATTTTATAGCATAAAGACAACCTGTTGCGATATTGTGACATGCAAGATGTATAATAAAGTATAGTATTGTGTCTGATTTGAGTACATCAGACACAATCCTTGTGGGATGAAAATGAGTGATTAGTGATGATCGCTGATGTGGGTCCTCCATCATGTTTGACAGTGATATAAGACGACCCTGTATAGGAAGCAATCCATCAAGGACAATGCAAGAAGTGTTGTATTCTATCTCGAAATTTATTGGAAGATCAGCTCTTTTTTCTTTTTTTTTTTATAACCAGAGTTATGAAGGGGGTTGGAAAGAATGAGAAGTGTAACAATAGGATTGATGAAGCTAGATCGTGTCAAGTACTCCTTGCTCGCACCTGTTAACTATTTTACTTGGATGAAAGAAAATAATTAAAATTAGTTCAGTGTCGAAAACTTATGTAACTTCCCGCGATATCCCTTGGCAAGTTGAAAAATGGAAAGTCGTATTCTCCCGTGAGAAAGTAAAAAGCTAATTTCAGTCTTTATCATCTTGATAAGTATTTTAAGCTTATCAAATCTAGATCATCTCTATTTAATTTAAATAGTTTAGCTTTAAAATTTTTAATTATTTTTAAATAAAAAACTATTTTTTGAAAAAAAAAATGATAACTAAGAGGTTATCTCTATTTTAATTTTATACACATTAAAATAATTATATTGAACAAATAAAAAAAAAAATCAAATCCAAACCATCTAAAAGAGATATGAATGATTTAGATATAATGAGTTCGGGATACTCATCAAAGTGATAACCATCAAAACTGGTTCGGAGAAAATGGTTAGAGTTGCTTTTTTGTTACTGAGTCACAAATGTAACGTTATATTTTATAAAAGATTATGTATTTAAGATCAACAGTCTTACGGATATAACAGTAATTAACTGGATAGATTAGTTGATTTCACCTTAGTGTTGGCATTAAATTTACAAAAACATTATGTGCGGAAATCTAGCTTTCTTATCGGATGATCATGTTATATTCTGGCCAATAAAAAGATTGGAGTGCGCTTAGAATTATAACGAGCTTCATTAACGTGAACTATAACATGCATCGCCATGATATCAAACACTGGTCATTTCTGGAAGGTTCTGTTATTGTTTTAAAATCATCATTTTGCCGCAGCATCTTCACCAAATCGAAGAATGTTGAACAATAGTAATATACATCCCCATGACCTGGACGAAGAGGCTGTCTCGAAGCAGAGCCAAACGCATGCTAATCTACTTCGGGTTTAATGTATACAGCTACTAAAGTGCATTAAATTAGCTTGATAATTGCATGCGTAAGAATGTGAAACATTTTACATATTAACAAATTAATTTCTCTTTCAGTATTAGACAACCAATTCATTTACTGAGATACTACCAATATTGCAATTATATGTGAACTCAGATAACTGAGTAAAAGATGTCGGTTATTCCTTACTCCTTTCTCTCTTATTTATAAACTTCAAATTTCACAAAAAACAAGGTCCATTTTATAAACTTTAATTTAAACATCTTAACATTTAATATATTTTTTTCAATGTCGCCTTTTAGTTATTTTTCTCTCGTCATATTTTTTCGCACATTCTCTTTCATATTTAATTATTTTTCTTATTTATTATAAATACATATTTAAAAATAAAAATACATTTTTCACCTATTTATTATTTTTTGAGTAATTTTAACTAATTACTAGTTATCTGTAAATTAGTTATTTCAAACTTATAATAAGAATCAGCTAACATGAACAAGATCGAAGTATCCAACTCCTTTTCAGTGACTGAAGATGCGCTTTGGGATGAAGATCAGACAGAGGAGAACGCACCTGTACCTTGTTATCAGTTCCACACAATTGGGCCCCAATTTTTCTATTTTTCCACATCGGAATTTTGTCTGAAGTTGTTTTAAAGGATCTTCGTCAGAAACTTAGTTTCAAGCCCTCGAGTTACGATGTAAATCACCGCGAGCAAGCCAATACAAGACTGATTCTTTTCTTTTTTTTTGACAAAAAAACTGAGGACATCGAAAGAAGGACATGCCTAATGTTATGAACTACTGTGCATTTACAAACTAGTAGAATCAAGTTTACGGAGCCGATATCACATTGGACTGTACGTTAAACTGTGCAATCTCAAACGAACTTCAGTTACCCCGGTCCATCAAGCTCACCTGAGTGTCAAGGCCTACATGAAACACACAACAGAATATTAAAATGTTAAGAGAGAATTGCATGGTTGTCTTAAAAGGCAGGAGAGGCGACCACTGACCTTCTATGCAGAATTTTAATATCATCCCTTAGCAACGGACTTTGCAGAAAGAAATCATCACATTGTTCCACATTAACAGTCTCAACTTCAAAATCACGAAAGCCGCAGTATTCATTCCATTCAAACCACATTTTTGATATTAATTCCTTCTTGAAACAAGTATCATGGTCTTCTTGTTCAGGAGAATCGGCAGCTATCAACCGATATGCAAAGACTTTCTTTGTCTGACCTGGTCGGAATGCACGGCCAATTGCTTGGCGTGTCACTGATGGATTTAGATGAACATCTAAAATAATTATGCGCGATGCCCCAACCAGAGATATGCCTTCTCCACATGCCTTGATTGAGCCAAAGAAGACTTTAGCATCTGGTGAATTGTTAAACCGCTCCATGGACCATTCTCTTTGTTCAGAGCTTGATTCACCTGATATAACAAATATTTCTTTTCCTGGACTCCATCCCTTCCTTTTCACAGTTAACCTTTCTAAATATTTCAAAGGCAAGAGATATTGGCTGAAAACTAGAAGCTTCTCCCCACTTGATTCACAAAGGTTCAGCATTTTAAGAAAGAATTTTGACTTTACTCCATCTTCCACATCTATACTCTCTATTTTCTCATCCATCATCTGATCAGATACAGCAGAATTCTCAGCGCAATTTTCCGCCATAGGCTTTAATTTAGCGTGGAGATAAACAGCACTTCCTACAGAACTTATCTTAAACTTTCTGGATAAGTGCTTTAGTTTATGGACTTCATGCTTCTGTCGGGGAGTAAGATTGAGCACAACAGCAAAATCTACAAGGCCAGGAAGCTCATCAAGAAAATCTCCCTTGTAGTAATGAAGTACCTGGCTTGTCATCTCACGCAAATCTTGAATGACAGCCACTTTCCTTTTAAAATCAGGGTCCTTCTGCAAAGTGTTCTCCACCAAGTCACAGAAATCTTTCACGCCTGGTACATGCACTCTACTCTTAATGCGCCTGACAATAGGTCGAGATGTCTGTGAACGTAGAAAATTTGGTGGACGCACAATGTTTAAAATGTTAAACACCTCCTTGACATGATTTTGATATAGGGTTCCTGACAGCACAACTTTTCGAGGAGTTTGCACTTTCGTAAGGGATTGAACTATGTCAGTGTTGTCATTCCTTGGTGTGTGTCCCTCATCTAAAATTAGAATAGAAGGAGCCTCAAGCAATATCTTTTGGCAAGTTACTGATACGGGGCTAGTTCCAGTATCACAGACAATTGAAGAGAATTGTTTGTATCCTAGGAAAAGAATACTCTTCTGCTCCACCCACTGTTTTAAAACTTCCAGTTGCTGAGACCGACTGTCTGCCTTAGCAGAGTAAAAATCATAGAGTGGAATGTCCTCCACTTGCCATGTTTGGAACTCCTTTTTCCAAGTAGCCAATATTCCCTTAGGAAGAACCACAAGGGGATGAGCCTGAGGATACTTGCCCAGAAAACTTTGCATGAAACTAATTATCATGAATGTCTTCCCAGAACCAGGAGCATGGGCCAAGATGCAACCACCAGGATTGTCACCCGCAAGGTTACGGACAAGAAAATTAAATCCTTCAATTTGATGAGGTTTCATTTGCTTCATATGCCTAGGGTGAGCAGATATTTCAGTTATCACAAGACCATCTTCACCAAATTTAAGTCCTGATACCTCAGGCGCTGTTCTCTCTTTGGCATTCCATGAATCAGCCGCGTAAGTTCTTGTACTTTTTTTGACCTTTAACAAAATGAAAATATTAACAAGGGACTATGTTTTTGAACTGTCACAAGTGTCAACAAAAAGCAATCTTTATCTTAATCCAGCAAATTACTCATGAAAATAACTTATTCTGGTTATAAATCATTGTCCTAAAAACCATCGCAACAAGTAAAATCTCGTTTCAATTTAAAGGTTAGATGTTTCAAACCATACAAAAATAGAATTTTGAGCATGACAAAATAAATTATGGTTTTTCCTTTCCCTTCTTCTGTGGAAATTTGGGAAATTTATTTTGCTCAATTTGAATCACCTTTTTTTAGGGGAAATAAAGATCATACCCAGATATCTACCAACTTAAAGTATAATGCAGATATAAGGATCTAACCTTGTACTGGAATTCAAATATGGTTTCAATTCCTCTGTCGATAACTCCACAGACGCGACAAACATAACCAAGATCATCTTTTAAAACATAAGAGTGATCACAGTCACCCCCACCCTTTTCAGCTTCATCATGTGGAGAATCCATAGCATCATCCTAGTGAAAGCAGAATTAAAAGAAATTAGTGCCAGTGGAACTTACCATTGTATTTTTATAGGTGATTCACCTTGGTAGAGAAGGTAAGAGCATACTTACCATCTAAACAACTACGCAATTTTACATTATGTGAAAATCATAAAAGGAATTTATCAGGAAAAATGAGCTATAGAAAGCACAACATATGGGAGACTAGCAAGGGGAAAGGGGAACTAAATGTCAAGAATATTTAAGGAGTAATAACGATAAAATGCAATTACTTCAAATAAGGCAGCACATAAAGTAATCAAACACTGTCACATTTGCTTTTCTCAAAAAGTAATCATACTTTGGAACATTCTATTGCCATTGACATCTCCCTCCAAATATCATCTAGCTCATCGCCCTTTGTATCAGCCTGTGGATTGTCTTCCCCTTGAACACCAATAAAAGCACCTTTATCTTTTTCAATGTTGTCTTCACCAACAAGAGAAAGTTCAGGTTTTACACCTAGAATTCCAGCATGACACCCAATAGAAGGATGTGCATTGGGACCATGGTACACCTATTGATAATTGCAAATAAA